CTCAAGAGTCTCCTCCAGCACCACAATTCAAAAGCATCAATTCTTTGGCGGTCAGCTTTATTTATGGTCCAGCTCTCACTTCCCTACATCACTACAGGGAAAACCATAGCTTTGACTATGCGTACTTTTGTTGGCAAGGTGATGTCTCTGCTTTTTAAGATGCTATCGAGGCCCATTCTAAGCCACACACCCCCAAAAAAGATATAGTCCTTGCTTATGAGAAAGCCCTCGGAGTTCAATCCATTGAGCCCGAACTCTACTAAATCACTCCTAAATCGATTTCCCAAGGCAAGATAGAAGTTGCGAAAAACACCGGAAAAATAATGGAAGGTTCTAAGGAGTGGAAATGGGTGCGTTCTGAATTCTCAAAGTTTAGTGAAACAGGCAGGGCTATGGAAAAGGTTTTACACCTCCCCGAAACTATACAAGGAAGGAAAGAGGGAACAGCTGCGCAATGGCGTTTCCGCTGGTTAGCTAACTAGAATGGCAGCCCTTCACCTGGAAGCAATTTTAAGGGCTCAAACTGAAGCTTGGTGACATGTATGTTCTTGTTCATTTTAAGAAGTGTCCCCGGGACTATTGGCTGTGAGCGATCCACGTAGGCACTCGCCCTCCTTCCGCCCTGAAGGAATCCCCTCTTGGGATTTCCCAGGACTGACAATGAACCATAGAGATACGAAAAATGGGTCATTACACCCATTGCTTAGAGATGAAACTTCCTGGTTCTTTTTTATGATCCCCCCCCCCGTGGTGAAATCAGGCTGCTAGCGGTTTTTAGAGATAACCACCTAAGTCTTGTTTTTAGCATGCATAACAAAATCAGAACCAAAGTACTGTGGCGAATTTAAGATTAACAGATTTAGTTCTATATATGCTTTCATGAAATACAAAACATTTCCTTAAACACATAGAGTACAAACTGGGACACAGATTTATAGATACTCTGAACGATTGTAGGCATCCAGAATCAGTGCAATAGGATACAGAAACAGTAATGATATTTGAGAATGACAATAGCATTTTGATAATTCAAAGGGACTTATCTAAGCATCTTGACAACAGGTTATGTATACTTAATATACATCATGAGAGCAAGCATTGTGTGGCTGCAGTAGATAGAGTGATGAACCAGAACTCAGGAGGCCTGGGTTCAAATTCTTGATTGGCCGTGGAAATTCACTGGAGCAGTGTGTGGCATTGGCAATGCCACTCCTTAAATTCTCCCATGCTTTATTCTATTTATTTATTTAAAATATTTTTACCCAGCCTTTCTCCTTGAAAAGGATCCAAGGCTGTTTGCATCATTAAAAGACAATATTTAAAGCTAAAATAAGAATACAAATATTTAAAAAGGAACAAAC